GAATGAAAATATATAATATTCAAGCCTGTATCTAGCGCCCATCATCGTCACCACAAAAGAAACGCTGCGTCGCATGCTAGAAACTTGTGTTCAAAAGGAAGTTCAAACCAAATACGAGTCCACGATGTGCAACAACCAAGGAGAGTTCGGCGGTGTTAAGCCTGCTTAATCCGGTTGGTCTTCCTGCTGGGGGAAGCTGGTGGTTGGAGCTCCGGACCGATAATGATCCGTGGGCAAAAATTGAGTGACTAAGCGGTTGATAAGCTCCAAGAAGCTTTTTTTATATAATATTTGTTCCTTCTCCTTGACTTGAACGGTGTTGATGAGCAGTTACTCTTGATTGTCGTTACAATCATAATAAAACCCAGTTTACAACTTATGAATGAGGACAATTCTCTTTTTCGATTGTCCTCGTTGACACCCATACAATACCCAAACTCCTGAGATCCTCACTTACATCATGGCGTCAAGTTCATTTCAGAAACAAGGCAAGCGAAAGGATATGGCAGATGATTCAATTTCTTTCGAGACTTCAAAGCGACATCGGGGGGATTATCGCAATTCTCGGGAGGCGTCACCAATCGTGAGGGACGGGCAGGATGATCGTCGAAAATATATTGATCGAAGAGAGCCCGGCAAGCAACCAAGTAGGCCCCAGATACGTGATTCAAATACATTCGGCGGCGCACAGCCAGGGCAGGATGACCATGCCTATGCTGCAGGACGCTCCACATCGAAGCCATTTCGTTCTCGCGATCTAGACCTTCCCTCCGCCAACGAGCTTAAAAACAAAATTCGCGACACCAAGCGCCTTTTAAAACGTGGCGATCATCTTCCAGCCGACGTCAGAATAGAGAAAGAAAGGGCGCTGGTGGGATATGAAAGGGATTTGGAAATTGTCGAGTCTCGAAAGAATCGGGCAGCAATGATTAAGAGATATCATTTTGTTAGATTTTTGGGTACGTTTTGGTCGGGATTCACATACACAAGCGCTTACTGTTATTATTATAGAATGCTAACATGCGCGCAGAACGAAAAGCAGCGACCAGGCGACTGAACAAACTGCTGAAACAGAAAAAGACACTCACAGAATCGAATCCAAACCTGGATAAAAAAGAGCTGGATTTCGTCGAAGAACAGATATACGTCACCCAGGTGGATCTCAACTACGCCATATACTCCCCCTTGACAGAGAAATATATATCTCTATACCCGAACCAGCGTCGCGACAAAAAGACTCCCGAACCGGACCCCGAGGACTCCAATATCATCCGCAATAATTCCGGCGAGAAGCCACCGCTGTGGTATACAGTCGAGCAGAGTATGAAAGATGGCACGCTCGAACTGCTGCGGGACGGGAAACTCGGGATTGGCATTTCCGGGCAAAAGACATCGAATAACGGACCGATAGCGGTGCTAGGACGTAAGAATAATGAGACCGTTAGTGGATCATCAGTGGCCACGGAAGGGGATAGCAAGCAGCAGGGAAGAAAGAAGGATAAGGAAAAGCAACACGATGTGAAGAAGAGTAAGGAGCAAGAGGGCTCGAAGAATTCGGGACCGAGAAGGCGTGATGTGCATATGGATGACCAGAATAACGAGGACGGTGATGATGACAGTGATGGCGGGTTTTTTGAAGAATAACGTGTCATTTACAGAGAAAGAATTTCTATCCACACAAGGCCTGTATACCCTGATAGGAGTTGTCTCATTTTCACCCGATTACTCTTGAGTTCCATCCTGTGTTACGATTTGTATGATTATGATACCCAATCAATTCCTGGTTATTATTGCTCATGTATCATAAGAGCATGTACACTCTGGACTTGTACTCTTGACTCACATCCCATTTTAACCTAACATCCCCCGCTAGCACCTAGAAGAAAGAAACCACACCTGAAAACAAACCTACTAGGATGTGCGTCTAACGAAAGGGAGGACTTACGATCGATTGGATTCTCCTTCCACGATATTAATATTATCCTGCTAAAAGGCCAATAGCAAAATAATGACTGCCAGATATATCGTTCGCCTGCGCCTTCTATCTTGTTCTGTCCAAAGATTTATTCGAACTATCCCGACATTAATAGAATCCAGGAGAGGTGAATGTATGCATATATAATAACCATAAAGTTAACCATGTGGAGACTAGAGGGGTGCCGTCGATGCTTTTAAGCAATCAAACGGAGAGAGAAGTAGTAGTCGAAAAAAAGCCTGCATTCATATATATATATATATAACAGAGCAAAACTTCAGCGAGAGAACCTACTGCCATTTAATAAACAGAAAAAGGGAGAGAGGGGAGGGGGGGGGAGGGGGAGGAAATAAAAAGAGAAAGAGAAACGAGAAACCATAAATACATCAAACCGGAAAGCAAAAAGAAATGAACAACAGAATCAAAATTCAACGGACCACCGAAACCACCCTTGAAAACTACCATATAAGAAACACCACACAAACCACATTTAGACCCGCCGTTATGACACGTTTCATCTCAGCGCACACTCAGATTTTCCCTGTGCGCTAAGTGCCCATCCATCGCCTTCCAATTCCAAATAACATACATAAAACCACCTGCCCTCCGCTTGCCCCTTGGCCTCACCTTCAGATACCAGGTATTCGTTCAGGATGTGTATCCCACGCCAATCCGAACGAGAGATAGGCAGCAATGCTCATAGAAAGCACTTCTCTTATCAATCATCCATCCATCCTTGCCATTTTTGGAAATGGGGTAGCTTAGCATCAAATGCGAACCAGTGCCTTCTCTTGTTGGAGACGTAAAGAGATCAATCGGTAAAAAGGAAGGTGGGAAAATCGGGGTTAAATAAGGCGTGAAGGAAGCGTTGTGAGGGCACCGAAGGGGAGCAGGAGATAGAAAGATTTTGGAAAACTCCAAACACGCGAACCGAATGCATTATATATAGATAAGCAATCATATGTAGATATATATATATATATATATATGGTAAGAAAGAAGGCAAAGAGACCAGTAAATCGTGATCTCGTGATCTCGTGATCTTGGAGATCGATGAGTATGTCAGAGAGGGGAAAGAGAAGTAGATGGAGAGAATAATAAAAACAGAGCAACATGCAGAACTTGAAAAGAGGGGTGAATTTAAAGCTAATGGAAAGAATAAAAAAAATGGCAAGATGTGAACTAAATGTGAAAGGCAAAAGAATATGGTGATGATGAGCAGTTAGACAAGCCCGTGAATAACTATCACCTTGCAAAGTAATTGCAAGAAATGCACATAGAAAACAAACAAATAAGAAAAAAAAAAATGTGGAAAAAAAAAAGGACGTTAAAGAAACATATTTTGAAGCCGCCACCAGAAGATCAGGAACGTTAACGCCATATATTCTTTTGTAAACAGTAGTGTGCACTCACATATTTTAAACCTCTTCTCTTCCCCTTTTCACATAACTACACAACCCCCACTCCTCGCCCTCCGCCGGCCTCCCAACGGGACCAGACCGGCCGGCCCATACGCACTCTCATCCCCCTCATCCTCATCAAACATGCGTTCCACGTCCCTTGCTCTCCGCCTCCTCCTGCGCGCAGCAGCCACGCCCGCTTCCTCGTTCGCCATCATGTGATCCGCCCACTTGCGCTCGAGCCTTATGGCCGCTGCAAGATTCCCACGTAGCACACGCTTCGTGTGCTCCCTGACCACCATCTGCCAGCCGTAGAAGCATTTGAGGTCAATGATTTCTTTTGGGTAGAGGATTGTGGCGCTGGGTGGTGGGGTAGGGGTTGAGAGCATGGAGTTTTTGGGAGTGACTTGGGTGGTTTCGCCGTCGGTGGTTATGGGTGTTATTGTGGTAATAGTAGTGATAGGGGAGATGGGGATTCTTGTGTTGGTGGAACTGGATGATGGAAGATGAAGGGGAAGAGGGGGAAGATGATGATGAAGATGATGAGATTGGCTGGACCCGGCGGCGATTTGCGGAGGGACAGTTTCGGTTG